TGGGGAACCGGATGCAGTGCAGGTAGAACCTGCCCGTTTCACAGGTGAGGACACGGAGGCTCCAAGCCAGAGGTGGCTGCTATGTCTGTCCCGGGCTTCCATCTGGCCCTGCCGGCGCTCGCTGTATCCACCTGTTAACTCACTTGCTGTCTAGTTGTCTGTCAGCCCTAGTGGGCCTTAAGGGGACACTGTCCTGCCCCATGTGCCCAGCCAGGGCAGGGTGGGGAGGTTCCCTGCAGACCACACGCCTGTGTAGGGCCTCGAATAGTAAGGACATAGTCACCACAGGAAGGGACTCCTGGTAGAGGGGCTGGATGTGCAAAGGTGTGGAGGATTCGTGCTGGGGCAAGGCATGGAGGGGGTGTCATCAGGGCTAGGGCTGGGCTTGGATCTAAGGCCAGTGATCCTGGGAGCCCAGGGAGGCTGGGTGGGCAGTGGTGCGGGCAGAGGGCTAGGGGAACTGACTCAGCCATCCTGGGGCTAGAGGTGTGGGGATTGGGCAGGCCTTGAGTGTGGACCGCGGACCTGCCCCTACCTGGAAGGAGGAGGCTGAGGCCACAGAGGGGAAGGGGTCCTGAGCAGGTGTGTTGCCTATGAAATGGAGGACAATGCTTAGGGGCGGCGTGGTAGGGGCTCTGGTCTGTTGGGGAGAGGTATGTACCCACCCCCCCAACCAGGGCCATTCATTCAGGAGCGCTGAGCTGGGACCATCCACTTCCCCACACTCCTTGAGGCTGAGGCCCAGGGTCAGTGTGAGAGGGTCAGCTCAGGGTCAGGGGCCAAGCTGGGCCGATCGAGGAGTTGGGATGGGGGGCTTGGAGAAGGTCAGCCGGTGAGGCCACGTTGCACCCCTCTGTGGTTAGTGCCTTGGCCGGGGCTGGTCTAGGAGCTGTGTGTGTGTGTTGGTGAGGTGGTGGGGGAGATCTTGGAGGAACCATGCATTCAGCTGGGAAGTTCTTCTTCGTGTCTGACCACACTGTGATTCCAGAGGCTTCCGCCCATCAGTGAAGGCCCTGATGCCTCCACAGTTCCTGCTCCTCAGAGGCCCTGGCCCTGCAACCCTGGCCTGGGAGCCCGAGGGCCTTGTAGGCAGTGAGGGTGTGTGTCTGGGGCTCCAGCTGGCTGCTCCCCACAGTTCCCCTGGGATCTCTTCCCAGCTCAGAGGGACCTCCTTCTCTTAGCTTGGGGTCACCTAGGACCCACGGGCCACTTCTCCTGGGCCCTACGTTTGCCCCCTGAAGGCTTCTGTGAGGAGGCGAGTGGGTCCCAGGAGCCTGTCTCTGCTCTGCTCCCAGTGCTGCCCTGCAGAAAGTGCTGGGGCCCCAGCAGCAGGGAGATCCCTGCAACACTACCAGCCTGAGTTTAGGGGATTGCTCAGGTACCTTGCTGTGACAAGGTAATTCTGACCCCCATCAGGGACTCTGGGGATGCCAGGCCACCCCCTGGGGAGGGCAGGGGTGGACAGTTCATTTGTACAAAGGGGACCACTGTCCCTCGATGTGGTGATAAGGCCGGATGGACAACCGGACAGTTGACCACAGCCCACAATGGGCCGGATGCCCTGCACCTGCCCACAAAGGAGGGGGTGGTCCCGCCTCACGTCCAACCGGCAGCCCCGAGATAGCATCAGCCGAACAGAGAGCCATCCGTCTTGTCCCACAAAGGCCAGGACAAAGGCCATGTCAGCGGCAGCCTCCCCGACCGGGTCAGTGGCGGTCAGTGGGAGCCAGGGGTCTTGTCAGGTCCTGCTTGGGGTCCATGGAGAACAGCTTTTGTTGTCCACAGGGCCAGCCAGATGGAGGCCATGCTTAGGGCTGGAGAGAGGACCCTGTCTCAGGCATCTACAGGCTGGCTCCAACAGAGAGGAGGACGTCACCCCTTTAGTTGTGCACAGCCCTGTGCTGTGCAGGGCACCCAGGGAGGGCTCTGATGGGCCTTGGGTGCTCAGCCGCAGGGTCAAGGGTGGGTCAGTGGAGGCTGCGAGAAGCCTCTTGCTGTTGGGGCAGTCAGAGGGGATGTGTGAGGGAGGTGGTGGCCAGGTGGACTGAAGGGGGCAATGAGCAGGAGCTGCAGTGACAGAGGAGTGTGTCCTGGGCAGAGGGAACAGCCTGTGCAGAGGCTGGGGGCGGCAGGCCATCGTGATATTCTGGGAGCCTGGTCAGGGGAGGCCTTGGTGTGGGGAGCAGGGACAGGGCCCTGTGCTGCTCCAGCAGGCAGGAGGGGCCGAGTAGTTCTGGAGGAGGGACCGGGGGGTTGGAGGTTGAGATTAGGCTGTAGGATTGGGAGGGTGAATTGGGGGGAGCCTAGTGGGACCAGTGAAACCCTGGTGGCATAGTGGTTAAGAGCTACAGCTGCTAACCAAAAGGTTGGCAGTTTGAATCCGCCAGGCACTCCTTGGAAACCCTATGGGGCAGTTCTACTCTGTCCTGTAGGGTCGCTATGAGTCAGAATGAACTGGATGGCAACAAGTTTTTTGTTTGGTGGGACCAGGAGCCCTGGTGGCATGGTGGTTAAGAGCTACAGCTGCTAACCAAAAGTTCGGCAGTTTGAATCCACCAGGCGCTCCTTGGAAACTCTATGGGACAGTTCTACTCTGTCCTGTAGGGTCACTATGAATTGGAATCAACTCGACGGCAATGGGTTTTGGTGGGACTAGGGGTATAGGGGGAAGGCCTGGCTCACTCCTGGCACAAGGACTCCAGAGACCCAGCAGCCCCACTCACACCAACAGGGGCCCCACCTCCCATGGCTCCATCACCTAGCACCGCCCTGCCCATCAGATGCCTGGCTTCTCACCTAGACTGCCCAGGAAGTCCCATAGCACCCAAGAAACTCCCATAGAGTCACCCCAACCCCAGTCTGTCCCTGATGGCCCAGAACACCGCCCACAAAGCATGCTCACCACCCTCAGGAAACCCCAAACCCCTGAGCATCCACTGTCCTCAGAAGCCTTCTGCCCCCCTGGGGCCCCTGAGGACCCCCACTCTGATCGCTCACCCTCTTATACATCTACACTCTCTTTAGAGTGTTCTCCTGGCCCGCGCACCTCCGGCCTCTCGGGGACCCTCTGAGCCTCACTCTCCTGGCGGAGCATCTGAGCAGTGTTGGGAGCAGACCCCCCACAAACCCTGCCTCTCCTACCCCAGGGGCCTGAGCTGCCGAGCCCCCTCTGGCCCAGCATGCCCTGGGGCTGTCCTCCTGTTGCTTCCACTGCTAGACAGAGCTGGGGCCCTGCACAGTGTCTCGGTGGCCGCCTCGCAGCACACAGACTGAAGCTCCCTCCTCACACCTAGTGTCCTCTGCCTTTTCCACCTCCTCCCTTGGAGTGCAGGATTTCTCCCTGTCTAGAGCCCTGGTGCCTTTTTGACACCAGACAATACTTAGAGCTCCCTCCAGCCCCTTGCTGCCCCTAGACCCCCACCCCACTCCTCAAGACAGAGGGAAGCTGCAATGGCCAGGCCTGCTTTAGAAACAACACAGATGGACGTATGTGGTCCAAGGGCTGGTGGGGCGGGCGGTCTGACCTCTTAGGGCACAGGCAGGAGCCCGCGAGGGCAGCGCTGCACCCAGAGAGTACCACCTGCACCCTGTAGGGTGCCGATACTCTCCAAGCCCGCTGCTGGGTCTGGCATCCCTGCGCTGGGCACACCCAAGTGCTCCATCCCCTGAGCCCCTCCTTGTCTCTGGCACCAGCTCACTGCCCCACCCTCTGTCCCTGTCAGCCTCACTTCCCTGGTCTGTCCTTAGGTTGACGGTCCTTGCTTATGCCCAGGTCACCTGATTCCCCAAGATCTGCTCAGTGTCACCAAGTTCCCTGAGAAGAACGGCCTCATGTCCAGCCCAGTGAGACCCTCCTACTCCTACCACCCCCACTCTCGCGTACCCTCTGGGGACCTCCCTGCCCACCCCTCAGCCCCAGTCAGGCTCACTACAGCCCAGCCAGGGTTGCTTTCTGCTAGAGGCTCCCCAAGACTGCAGCATCCGCACCCTTCCTGGTGACCTCATTTTCTGTGCAACAGCCTCAACACTTGCAGCATCTACTTTCCTTTACAGAGTCCTTGGAGTGTCCTCACTGCCCCATGGTGTCCTCACTGTCCCATGGTGTCCTCCCTGCCCCATGGTGTCCTCACTGCCCCATGCTGTCCTCACTGCCCCAGTGTCCTCACTGCCCCATGGTGTCCTCCCTGCCCCATGGTGTCCTCACTGCCCCATGCTGTCCTCACTGCCCCATGGTGTCCTCACTGCCCCATGCTGTCCTCACTGCCCGATGGTGTCCTCACTGCCCCATGCTGTCCTCACTGCCCCATGGTGTCCTCACTGCCCCAGTGTCCTCACTGCCCCATGGTGTCCTCACTGTCCCCACAGTGTCAACACTGCCCCCACAGTGTCCTCACTGCACCACAGTGTCCTCACGGCCCCCCAGTGTCCTCACTGCCCCCACACAGTGTCCTCACAGCCCCCCAGTGTCCTCACTGCCCCACAGTGTCCTCACTACCCCCCAGTGTCCTCCCTGCCCCCCCAGTGTCCTC